TGGCTCCGAACCTTACTTCCGGGTATCCTTGCGCGCCAAGTGTAATCCGCCCGTTTGACCTAGATTTCGCTCTGCGGCTTCGTAGGGGTGGATTTGCAACCCCTCGCGCCGTGGACTGTTTAGAAAATTACAGTACTAGAATTTTCTTTATAATTTACTCGAGTATAGTCAAGGCTTTGGTCTTTCTGCCAGCATCAGTCATTTCTGCCGGAAAATTTTTTTCTATGGGATTATCCCACGCGAAAATTCGCAATTTTGGGCATTAATTTTGGAGTGAAAATAATGTTTTTTCCGTTGATTTTACCAAACTTAAAAAGGTTGAAGAAACCAAACTCAACTGGTCTTGTAGCTGAAGAGATATCCTTTCGTCCCATATACAGTTATTCACCTTCCGAATTATTCCACGCCAGAGACGGTCGCTAGATTTGAGGGTGTGCAGCTTCGAATAGAGACGCCAAATAAACTGGGGTGTGCCCCCTTATCTGGCTGAATTAGGGCATGATACAAATCTTATGTAATTCTTGTATGTACTCACCATGTTGCGATTCTAGACAGACATACATGGTCAACCTTGGTCTGATCGCTCTGAAAGGATGGGAGAACACCAGACATGAGAAAAACGTATAGCAAAGTCAAAGAAAATACAATGCCTGTATTTTGTTATGCCCAGGAAGCCATAGTTCAATAGCAGTACCTACATGTAATACCTATGACAAGTACTGTGAATCACTTTATATTCACAGAACTTCTATATTCACGGTTTTCACTGTCACTTCTGTACTTTGCAAATTTATCAATACTGCGAACAAGTAATTCAGAGACTTCAGAGTATATTCCTTTGGTTGTCATGGTTACAGAGGTACCCGTTGTCATGGTTACCTGGCTTGAAGGGCGTTGAAAAGTCTGATGCCGTCAGCTGGGCCACAGATCTGTACCAAGTCTTCTCTGGTCAATCTCAGTAAGTCAGCTCCTGAAGAAAAAAGAAAGATTTTTCACCCACCTCTCTATTTTATTATGACCAATGCAATGGTAGTGTGTTTTCCCTGCATTTATTTGTATATACCTTGTTCAAGTACAAGTATACATGTATAATCTAAAGAACAAAGAAGTACAAAGTACACTCCACTGATTATATCAATTTTTTCCTCCTTTGCCCCAAGATCTTGGGGTGAAAAAAACATTGTCTAGAATGTACATACATGGAGTAGAGTGATTCATTCCATTCATATCACACCGCAGATGTACCTCAGTAAGGCACCTTGAGCCTTTCTGGTTAGAAATTTTATTCAGCCTGTCAGACAGGTTTCGTCCAGTGGCCTTCTTCAAGTGTACAGAGAAATGACACAGGTTCACGGAGATCTCACTTGTATACCTTTCCAGTACATATTGCCTTTGCGTAGAATGATTTGTGTGTGAGGTTGATTAAGATTCCCAAATGTGCAAACCAACCTGCAAAGTTATTAAATGTTCTGACGTAGTTTCCAAATCTGTTGTGTACCAGCCAGCTCTGTGTTTCTTGAATGTTGGCGCCTGGAGCAAGAGGCTGTGAAAAAATGCAAAAAAAATGCTTTTAGCTTGTTGAAGTTAATGATGTCCAGTTATCTTTCTTCACATCAGAAAATTGGATAAAACTTTTATTGTTTCTCACAAAATTAAAACATGCACTGGCAGGGAAAGACACAGATGTGCCTTCCCTGAATAATGTTTGTCATAACAATATTTTCTCACACAGCTATGTACAATAAACTATGATAAAGAGTGCAAATACAATATACATTTGTAATACAATATAATGCACACAAATACAACATAAAACAAGATATCAAGCCCCAGGGCTGCCAAAGTCACTGAGCAATTGATTTGTTGTGGAATCTGATGGCAGAATGTAAGAAAGACTGTCTCAGCTAGCCATTCCATTCTGGCCTTAGGCCCAGTAACTTAGGGACAGTAAATGCGCCACAGTTCCTCAGCTACCTGCCAGTGATGGTGCATATTTGTGGGGGCACTGACTGGGTATGTCTCTTGTGAACTGGCAGGTTTTATATATATAATATATAACTGACAAGACTGTATCTCACCTCCACGGACCCAGCTTTATCCCCCCCATCTTCATTGGAGGCAGCAGCAGCAGAGGTGGTGGGACTCTGCAGACTTCTGTACGGAGAAAATACAGCAAATTTGGAAAAAAAAATAACTTGGACATATAAGACGGGAAAGGGAGACTGGCCACTTTGCATTTGGACTGTCTCAGATATTCTTTAAATGCATCCAATGCAATTTCAGGCAATCAGGGTAACAAAACTGGATTTTCAAAGTCAATTTTCTATTCCTTCTTTTCATGTAGAGTGAGGCAAAAATTTGGTATGGCTGATGGAAAATGGTTGCTTGTTTTGTGTATGGTGGGCTGGTTCTAGCTATTCATGGTTGGTACCCAAAAAATAAAAAGATGCTTCACATAGCTAGTTTTTGTGATATTTCAAACACTTCAAGTGAGAAATGATGAGAACAATGTGCTGAGAAATAACAGTAAATGTCAATATCAGACAGATTTCCTCATCCAGAATATATTTCCGTATTGCTGCCCTGAATCTGCATTGGGTGTCTTTATAATATGACGACTATCTCTATACATAAACATACTGTAAATTTATATATCTTTGCAAGGATTCGATTTTATAGGGGAGATAAGGTTTTCAGTGTTTTTTTTTAACTTTAAAGTTTGAGGTTAAATCAACAGTAGTAATACAATGGAAACACGTGTGTATGTATACAAAGTGTATTTAATTCGTAAAATGAAAAGAAGTCAAGCAAAGAGACCTTGTACAGAACAAACCACAACATTGACTGGTTTATTAATATCCCAAAAAAATTAATGGCTTATCATCATTAAAAAAATTGTCATACCATAGCTGAAATAATATCTAACACACAAGGGCTAAGCAACTTCATTTTGTATATAAACATAGACATCATAATTAATATCGAATTGATTTCCACACTTCAGCACCAATAGATGTTTACTGTATGTTGTCCACTCTTGTCTTATTTTATGTAACAATGTCTTGTGTAATTTTGCTGGGCCCCCTTGGAAAACAGCTAATGTAAGCCGAATGGGGCTACCCAGCCGTCTTATGATGAAATAAATAATAAATCCTTCTCTATGGTTCAGAGTGTTGGACAATAAGTCTTACAAAAACCCTAGAAAGAAGGTTAAACAGCTCATACACTAGAATGCTAAGAAATGACTTAAACATTGGAGGAGCGCTTTTGTGCACCCTATATTCAAAAAGGGTGACAGGAGTGATCCGTCCAATTATAGACCGGTATCTCTCACCAGTGTGTGTTGCAAGCTCCTGGAACATATTCTCTATTCAGCTACTATGAAGCATTTGGACAGCCAAGGTATACTCCTCCCGATTCAACATGGCTTTCGTGCAAAACATTCTTGCGAAACCCAGCTCATTAACACCCTGCACGATCTAACCTCAATGTATGATAAAGGATGTCAGATAGATATGGCTATTCTAGATTTCAGCAAAGCCTTCGATAGTGTACCACATATGCGTCTGCTCAATAAACTAGAATATTATGGCATTAAAGGGACAAATTTGTACTGGATTAAAAAATGGCTAACCAACCGACAACAGCAGGTGATTATTGAAGGAGAGAAATCCAAACCAACAACAGTTAAATCAGGTGTCCCTCAGGGAACAGTCTTAGGCCCACTACTGTTTTTAATCTATATTAATGATATCAACAAGGACATCAACTCTCAGCTTCGCCTGTTCGCTGACGATTGCTTAGTCTATCGCCCCATATACATGGCACAAGACCAACACTCACTACAAAGAGACCTAGACAAACTCTGTGAATGGTCTAGCTTATGGCAACTTAGTTTCAATAGTAAAAAAGTGTACCATCCTCCATGTGACGTAAATCACGAAGAATGCCACAATTCATGTATCAAATGTTTTCAGAACCCCTTGAGGTCAGCTCCCAGCATCCCTATCTCGGGATCATCTTGTCGCACGACCTAAAGTGGAAGCCACATGTTGACAGTATCATCGCCAAGGCGAACAGCACACTAGGATTCCTGAAGAGAAACATAAGGGGGGCAAACAAGGAGGTTCGGAAAAGGGCATATACTACTCTAGTCAGACCAAAATTGGAGTATTCTTCAGCTGTCTGGGACCCACAGGTACGCAATCATGCACAATCAAACACATTGATAGAGAAGTTGGAAGCTGTACAGCGACGAGCAGTTAGGTTTGTATGTGGGGATTACAGGTACTCAACCAGTGTAACACAACTCCGAACATCACTTGGCCTTCCCACACTGCAGCAGCGCAGAAAACAACACGCCTAACACTTATGTACAAGTCCTTCCACCAGCTGGCAGCAGTACCCATACACGACTACTTGACACCGAACACAAATACAACTAGAGGTCACCCCTTCCGCTTTATTACTCTTACAACAAAGACAGAGACATTTAGAACTAGCTATTTCCCTAGAACAACCATAGAATGGAATGACCTCCCGTCCCAAGTAGTCACTGCCAAGTCACTCGATTTGTTTAAACGGGGGCTGGCCCAACACATGGGCCTCCCCCAACCCCATATGTAAATATTATGTATACTTAGTGTGGCCAACACATCATTTTTCTTGTTATATTTTTGAATGCACAAGTTTTGTTAAGTTTATTGAGCACGGTTGCACCACCACCACCGGCCACACTGAGGCGGGCACCTGGACGTGATGTCCCTTGCGGGATTTTGTCCAGTATTGCATAAGATAAGATAAGATAAGACCTGTCACCACTAACTTTGACAGTGGGCCACCAGAAAAAGGCAACATGAATTCGACACTCATTCCCCAGAAATGAGCAAGGAAAGTTTAACACCAGAACCAGAAAGTGAAAAATTACCCAAGCCCAATTTACCCTGGGTATTAAAATAGGCTGTAATCCTGTCACTCATTGGACAATTTTGTCTGCTGCCATCTCTAATATACTAATACTGATGAAACTGAGGAGAAATGAGCACCTTTCCTGCCCATCTTTATAAAATATCCAGCAACAACTCAAACATGTTGCTCCAAGCAACTCACTTCCTGAACTTGAACTCTCAAACATCCCTCACCCATCTACCCTCCCCCCCATCTATACTCCCC